CAAAGCAAGACTCCACCTTTGAAATCTTATCCCCTGCCTTATTTGGTGAAGAACATTCCATTGAATCTCTTTTGTGGGTGCGCCCCCCCCCCCCGTAAAAATAAAGAGATTCTGAGTGCACTCTCTTTCCAATGCCTTTCAGCATGGAAGTTGATCCTTAAGGTTGCAGAGCCATCTTATCCTCACATGAAAAATACTTCTGTATTGTGTGATTTCTCAACATTTTCTTAGCTTAATGTTGCAGCCAGCTCTTTTGAACCCAGCTCATCTTGTCAGTGCGGGCAGCTGGCGAGACCCAGTCCTTTTAATATTTTTGAGAAAGGGTGTCACCAGGTTGCTTACAGCCTTGCTGAATTCCTGAGGCTTTGAACCTGCGATCCTTCTGCCTCAGCCTCCAGAGGTGCTGGTGTGCCACCATGCCCGTTTGTAGAGCCTGGCACTCCTATGCCTCTCTTTGGGTTACAAGGACACAGGTTACTTAGGGCTAAAAGTCTAAGACCTGAAATGGCAAATGCAATGGTCCCAGGAACTGCGCGGGAGAAGGGTAACTCTGTTACTGGGCCTCACCTCAATCTCCATCACTTCCTACTCTCCACCCCACCCCCACCCACCCAGCAGCCACTACTGGGACCCTCAACCAGGAGATAGGCAGATGTGCCAGTTCTGCCGGGTTCCAGAGGCAGCCGAACCCTGAAAAACCCCATCTCCGAGGTCCTTCAGTTCTGTGGACGCCAGGAGTCAAGGGCATTGGAGTACACAAGACCAGTCAAATCCATTCTGGAGTCTGAGGCAGACCCAGAAAGAACGGGGCCTCCAGAGCTTGATTGCTCTCCATCCTACGTAGGGTTGCCCTTTCCCCACCCCAGTCCAGGCCAGGGTCCTTCTGTTTCACCCCATCCAAATGCAAAGTCAGCCTTCTTGGTACCAAGTTCTTGAGGTCCCCACATCTTGACTACCACCAGCAGGGACAGACAGGTCAATTTGGGGCCAAGGGGCTGAGTTTAAGAGGTCTGGAGGACAAGGAGCCTGGCACAAGAACCAACCAGTGAGTTCGGGGGTCCAAGTCCAGGTGATGCAGCAGTGCCAGGATAGGTGTTATCAGTGGAGGTACTGAGCACGCCTTCAAGGACCCTGCATGTGGCAGCCCACATTCAGCACAGTCCTCCTCATACCATCCCAGTTTAGCTGGCACACTGCACTGCAGATGGATGGTGCTCAGGTCCATCCGGACCTTGGGGTCCCCTCCTCTCGCCCTCACAGGCAAGTGGGAATAAGGAGAACTGCCTGGACAGGTACCTTGACGCAGAGCCAGGATCCAGCAACAGTGGCCGCATTCCCAGTTCTCTGATTGGGCTAGTTCAGAGACCTGCAGATCTCAGCCGTGCCCTAAAACATCATCTGGCAGAATATGAACTATAGCCCCTTGGAGATAGTTTCCAGGAGCCTAAAGCAGCATAGAATGAAGAGATTCACTGGCACAGTTGTTCTCAAACCTCACTGCCATTTTTAAAAACCTCCAGTGCCCAGATTCATGAAATCAACACAGTGCTTGCTGGAGGGCCAGTGGTGTTAAGGGCAGAGGGGTGAGGTCCTGACAATCTGGATCAAAAAAAGAGAAAGGCACATTAAGACAGCAAGGCAGTTCCTGGCCTGGATTCCCTGTACTTTCCCATTTATGTGCAAGCAAGAATTTTTCCGGAACTGGACTGGGCTCACTGCAGTGTGCATGTGTGCAGGCACAATAGTAGGGATTGAGCCCAAAGGTGCTTCACCACTGAGCTACATCCCCAGCCCTTTTTCTTTTTGACAAGGTGCTGTTGGATCTCAAGAGCACAACAGAGCTTAGGGTAGTGCAGCTCTTGTGAACCTCCACTGATACACCTGCCCTCAAGGGAGAACCAGTTTGTATGGTTTTTGTGAGAAGCCTAGAGGTGTCAAGGTTTCTAACTCTGGTCACTGGCCTCTGAAGTTAATGCTACCTCGCAGCAGGGAGACAGGTGGAGGGAAAGCCATACATCAGATCCACTTCCAGGGATTGGCATACAGGAAACCCAACATTGTTGGCCAAGACATACCTCTCCAAACAAACTTCTTCATAGGTGTCTCTGGAGTATTGTTTCTTCCAGAATAACTTCACAGTTTTGATTTTAAGTCATGTTTTTCTGGTTGGAGTGGCACACACCTGTAAACCCAGCAACTGGGTAGGATGAGGCAGGAGGCTCACAAATTCCAGGTCAACCTCAGCAACTAAGCCAGACCCTGTTTCAAATTTTTAAAAAAGGCTGGGATAGCTCAATGGTAAAGTGCCCCTGGGTTCAATTCCCAGTACCAAACAAAACAACAACAACAAAAAAACTGGTTCACAAGGCTAGGGTAAAAAGATTACCAGTTCAAACCCAGTCAGAGCAACTTAGCCAGGTGAGCAACTTAGCAAGACCCTATCTCAAAATTTAAATTCTTTTTTTTTAAAAAAGGGAGGTGGGGCTGGATTTGTAGCTCAATGGTTAAGCACCCCTGGTACTATTAAAAACAAAAAACAAAAACTGGGTAATTCAGTGGTTTCAATCCCTATATTTTAGAAGCATACAGACTGGCACCGAGATTTTACCATAAGAAAATTTGGATTTTTCAGCATGCACAATTGCACACACCTATAATCTCAGCAATTTGGGAGGCTGAGGTTAGAAGGATTCTAATTTTGAGGCCTGCCATGGCACTTAAGGAGCCCCTGCCTCAAAGTAAAAAAGAAAAAGGGCTGGGGATGTGGCTCAGTGGTGGAACAATCCTGGACTTAATCCCTAGTATTGTGTGCATGCACACATTCACACACATAAAATATGGACTTCTCAATACTAATAGTCACCAGAATAAAGGGAAGTCAAAGATAACAGGGATGTGGGGGACAGAGACCTGGCTGAAGGATATGTAAGTCTTTAAGGGAGGTCAGAGGGCTCACCAACACCTCAAGTGTCCCTTGAAGTTCCCCCAAAGTTCATCAGGAAGATCATATTTAACAGAAACAGAAAAGGATTTGGATTTAAGAAAGCCAGACAGGATAGGTCAGGTTGCACATGCCTGTAATCCCAGTGGCTTGGGAGGCTGAGGCAGGAGGATCATGAGTTGTAAGCCTGCCTTAGTATCTTAGCAAGACCCTAAGCAACTAAGCAAGACCCTGTCTCTAATTCTAATAAAATATAAAAAAGGGCTGGGAGGGGCTGGGGTTGTGGCTCAGTGGGAGAGTACTTGCCTAATGTGTGAGGCACAGGGTTCAATCCTTAACACAAAACATAAATAAATAAGTAAAATAAAGGTATTGTGTCTATCTACAACTAGGGCTGGGAATGTGGCTTAGTGTTTTAAGCACCCCTGGGTTCAGTCCCCAGTACCACCCCCCACCAAAAAAAAAAAGCTGAACAAGTATCCTTCCCCGCCTAGGATAGGGCTACTTGCTTTCCAGGACTTCTGCTTGAAACCATTTAATACTGGTTAGCTTATGCTCAACAAATACTTAACAGAAGCCTTCAGATATGGGTCCCCAGAAGGAAAAACACCCCAAAACACCCAATTTCTCCATGGTGGTACAACACACAGGAACCACTGCCTCAAGAATGAGCACCAGGCTCTCCTATAGCACCCACTATACCCATACAATGGGAGAAGATTCTTTTTCTCTTTTGGAGAGAGGACCCAAATATCAGAGTTTGGGAAAGGGGGTGCTTTTGTGTGGCAGTGGCAGCAGCACAGGGGGAGGAGGGCTCTGAGGAACACAAGGGGTTTCACCATTGCTTAACAGCTGGGGAACTTGGTAGGAGCTGACTGAGTAGACACTGAAACACCAAAGCTGCCACCACCACCGGCTGATGCAAATTTTATTGAGACAATGTACAAACAGGCCATGGAAACAAGGGTTTTGATGCTGGGACCAGAAACGTAAAATGGAATACAAAAATAAAAAGGCACTAATCTGTTAAGAAAAGACACTCAATGTATTCTAAGAATATAAGTCATTTAATACTGTTAATTTTATAGCACAAAATAAAACAAGCTATGATCCCCAAAAATAATTTTAAAAGCTTACAGAGAAAATATTATTGCCTGAAGTTTATGATCTTTAAGTTACAGGTCAAAAGAGTTTTATGTTGTTGTTTTAAAACACACAGTGAAGACCGTCAGGAAGCAAGGCCACTGTTCCTCCTGCAGGGACAACGATCCTGTCTCAGAGAACTGTCCTTCTACTCCTTTAGAACATACAACCAGCTCAGTGTTCACACTGACAGCAGTTACCAGGGACATGGCTCTCCGGTCCCAATGGGTGGAGTTTGAGGCAGAGCTCAGTGATGTCCACAGAAAGCATTAGTCTTAGGTACTGTGTTAAAACAATCAAGAATTCACTCATTTTAAGAGGTTAATGAACATAATATTAAAGGATTAAATTATAAACACCTGGCACAAAAACACATCATCCCTTTTCTAAAAATAAAATGTTCATATTCCTCTGAGCAAATGTTACAAGAGCAGTGGCCGTCTTGTCTCAGGCCTGTCTTGTCTGTAAACAGCTGTAAAGGAAGGCCAGCACAGTGCCAGGGGTGCAAAGATCCAAGGAGGGTGCAGCAGTCCTTTTCTCCTTTCCATGAGCACAGAAGGTGTTGAGTCTGGTCGGCCAAAGTCACCAACAGCAGCTGATCAATGCACCCTCTTTGTTAACCATGTTGTCAGGTGGTTACCAAACAGCGCACAAATAATAAGGATGACTCCTGTAGTGGAGGTCCTTTCCAGGACAAGTAAGTTTTTAATCAGACTATCAATACCTTCTAGTACATAATTTGTTTCCTTCCCAGGTGAAAAATCATAGTGAGTTAATTTAAATTATTTTCCATTATCATCTTCTACAACACAGGAAAGCAGAGCAGGTAATAATAATGAACAGTTAAAAAAGGAAGCCCACCTCTGCATCAAATTTGCAGTGCTCTATGAAGCATGAACATTTTTTCCTAGACTAGTGGGAACCAAAGCACTGAAGCCAAGGCAAAGGTGCTGCTTTCCACTATTTGGTGTGAAAAATAGAATTTCTCCACCTAGTTAAAAAAACAAAACAAAACAAAACAAAACTGATAAGGTTCTCAAGTCAAAAAGTTACTACTTTTGGCACACATCTTGAGAGCTCAGAACTCAAGACTTATTCTGGATTGAGCTCTCAATCTCCTAGGTAACCCTGGAGACATTTATATTGGCTAAAGTAATTCTTTATGGAAACAAACTCCAGGTTTGTGGAGTGTTTTAATTCTGAAGCACATCCTACAGGGTGGATCTTGCTATTGGTCAGCAGACCTGGCTGAAAGGAAACCCTGCTTTCTAAAATGGCCATTTACTACTTGTACTCTGAGCCAGCTGTTACAATCAAAAGGTGCCAAGCCCTTCAGCTATATCTGTTTTTAAAAGGTCTTAGGGTTTGTGCCCTCTTTGATCAAGGCTAGACACTCCACTCAGATGCAGGAGCCAAGAAGGCAGGGTGGAACCAGGTCATGGGCTGAAAGGCAAGCAGTATTTCTAGGCAGTGTAGGGATTTTGTCATACTCCCACCACCTGTGGGTGTAAGGCTGGGCTTGAACTTAGAACAAGCCCACTAAACGGACTTGGCCAGAAAAGGCAACTGTAAGAGGTGGCCACATTTCTCATTGGGTAGGAAGCTGATCTCTTAAGCATTTTCTAGGAAAACCACAGACAGACAGCCACAGTGGTATTTTTTCCAACTGATTGTTATTTTATCACAGGAAGACTCTTAAGATTCTTTAATATGGCAGTTATCAGCCTGATTTAAAGACAAAGTAATAAAGAAATGGAAAACTGGTTGTTTTGCTGATTCTGTCACCAGAATACATTACTCTGAACCTCAAAACCTAAGCGCTTCCAGAGATAGGGCTATAGTTGCAGCAGATGCCCCATAAATGCTAGAATTACTCTTTAGGTTGCTGCTACATTTCTGCAGTATTCACTTTGAGCTGAGCTTGTCTTCATTAGGGTCCAGAGGGAAAGTAGAATGAACTACGTAAAGGTTCCAGAATTTTTATCTGTTATGCTCAGCAGACATCAGTCCCACACTTGTACCAGAGCTGGCTTGTATAAAAAACAGGTCTCTTTTAGCTAATAGGAAAATACTTTAAAACAATAAAGTAACAAATGGTTAATGGTAAACTGGTTAAGAGTTCTTGCTAGTCACTATAACACTAGACCTCAAGTGAATGAACCAATTTCCAGTTAGCATTTCCTTTATTTGGAAGCATCAGCACCATCTTTCTCCAGCAGCCCAGGAAGACTGAGCTGGGGCATCAAGGACTGGGTAGGCTTCAGTGAATGAAATTCAATGATTCTATTAACCTCACTTTTAAAAGAAATTTAAATCATATAACTTAAAGGGGTACATTTACTGAAAATTGGGACAGAAAATTAGCCAAATGTTCAACCCCACCCCCACCCATCACTGGCAAACAAGGTAAGCAAAGGCTTTCCCCCAAATTACCTCTGACTCTAATGTTTTTGGGGACAAACTAATCCAAGAGGCCTGTGTACATAGCTTGGCCCACCACTGACTGCTGATTTATTGTGTTATTTTCTACATGGTAAAACAAGGTACTACTGACAACCAAGACAATAAAGGCCTTTACACTTCAGAGCTGTTCTTTTCATATTCCTTTAGTTACAGCAGCTTCAATTTAGAAGCTCAGAGGCAGTGCCATTCCCTGGACTATCACAAAAATCCAACCTGCTACTTAAAAATCTGTTCAGAACACACAAGTCCAATTAGTCTTCCAAAACCAAACCAAACCAAAAGAAAATGAAAGAAAAGCCAGATTTGGGGGCCGGGGGGCAGGGTGCCTAGGACAGAATTCTCTCTTCCTTAATGTTCACTTCCTGTGTTGTTCAAGAAAAACAAGTTGGTGGTGGAGCCACCACTTTGTGGAACAGCGACATGCAGGATCTCTCACTACRGTCTCAAGCTTTCTCTGATGAACACGACAGAATCAGTCCCAAGTACAAACAGGGCAGCGATGAGAAGGAAGACCCTTTTCTTGTCAGCTTCTCTCCACATGTGTGCTTCCACCAGCATTTCCAGTTTATGATCCAAAAAACTCTAAAATCGGCTACTCTGACAATACGACTATAATACAGATGCCAGGAGACAGCCGCTGTGTGCATTCCAAATGTGTATGAGAGATCGCCAGTCTGCAGAAAGCTGGACATTGGCAATGCAGTGTAACCTGCCTATGAGAGAGAATGCTTTCCCACTTCAAAGGAGACTATGACAGGCAGAACAATAAAGCAGCAGAAAACAGGGCAACAGCAATCACTCATTTTCATCTGGGTTTTGAGGGTCAATGATTTTGACGTGTGTAAAAGGAAAAAGCCCTTTGCGCCCATTCACCTCACCTTCCCACTGGCCATTTATATTCATTCTGGTGACTTTCACAATGTCACCAACCTACAGGGATGAAGAAAGAAGACAAAGTTAGTATTGTTCTGAAAATATGAAAAATCACAAGCATTATCCAAAAAAATTAATTTTTTCCCAACAAGAGTATGTCTGCTCTACTCAAATTCATATCAGATGGAACTGTTGTCACCAAGACTCTGAGCAGCAATGATGCCTCCCTGATCTGATTCTTACTCCCTTTATGGAGCAGTCACTAGGGGAAGCCCAGTTCTGAGCATCTTAAAATGCAGGGTGATGGAAATTCTATCTATTGCCAGAGGATAGGTACCAGATAAGGTCTGCTCATCAAGAGAAAGTAGGAATTTGATTTGGGAAGTGGTTTTCAAACTGTTCTGGAGATCCACAGACTTCTGGGAAGGTGCTTTAAGGGTCCAAGTCTATTTGGTACCTGGAATTCAGTGGCACTCTATCATGGAGATACATCCTTAGTCCTATATTGTATTTTATTTAGAGACAGGGTTTCACCGAGTTGCTTAGTGTCTTGCCATCACTAAGGCTGGCTTTGAACTCACTATTCTCCTGTCTCAGCCTCCAGAGCCGCTGGGATTACCAGCGTGTACCACTGCACCTGGCTCTAATTTTTTTTAAAAGTACATTTTATAAAGTTATTATAAAAAGCACATTCAAATTTTCTATAGTCTTTTTGGCATACTGTCTTGGTAAGTTAATTTAATGGAAAAAAGCTTTTCTTGCAAAATAGCAAGGTCAAAGCTTAAAAACAAACAAAACTATCTTTGTGTTCTGTAAACAAAAACAAAAACCTACCACCACTTGCAACAAACAAAGTCATAAATAAATAAACTGGATGCTGAGGGCAATAAGACCAAATCTACCATTCATAATGTTATTTCCAACTTTCCCTGCCCAATACAAAACTAAATTACCACCCCCCTCTTTTTTTTAGTGCTGGGGATCAAACTCAAGGCCTTAAGCATACTAGGCAAGTGCTCTACTACTGAGGTATATTCCCAGCTCCCCCTAATTCCTTTTTTTTTTTTTGAGAGAGAGAGAGAGAGAGAGAGAGAGAGAGAGAGAGAGAATTTTTTAATATTTAATTTTTAGTTTTTCTGTGGACACATCTTTATTTTTCATTTGTATGTGGTGCTGAGGATCGAACCCAGCGCCGTGCACATGCCAGGCTAACACGCTACTGCTTGAGCCACATTCCCAGCCCCCTAATTCCTTTTTTTTTTTTAAGAGAATTTTTTTAAATATTTATTTTTCAGTTTTCAGTGGACACATCTTTATTTTATGTGGTGCTGAGGATCGAACCCAGTGCCCCGTGCATGCCAGGCAAGCATGTTACCGCTTCAGCCACATCCCCAGCCCCCTAATTCCTTTTTAAAGCAATTCTTAGGTATGGGTAGTTCAGCAGCAGAATACATACTTAGCATTCCTGAGGCCCTGAATTTAATTCATTGAACCACTAAAAAAAATAAACTTTTCATGTTGTAATTTGAGTTCCATGTAATATTTCATTTGAAAAGAGTCGTCTTCTGCTCCCAGTTTAACAAATCAATTGTGGAGGCAAATTTAGAAATCCACCTGCCACAGCTGGGGGCCATACAGCGTGAAGGCCAGTTCTCCAGGAGCCTGCCACTGCATTGGTTCTAACACAGGCCTTGGGAAGCATTACATCTGCCTTTCCTGGTTACTAGGTGGGTCACTACACTTGGAATGGTAGATTCCAGGTGCCCAAAGGACATATATGTTGCCTCAAGTTTGTTAATTTCAGTTGACCTAAGTTACATATATGGCAAATCTGAGAAAATAAAACTTGCCTACCTGAAAACCCCACCCCAAGCAGCCCTCTCCCACCTCTTCTCGGGTCAGTTTATCCCACCAGCCTAAGTGAATGTGCTCTCACCTCTTGATAATCACTCCCACCTTATGTTCCCACAGCCTCTCACTACCTGGCTCTATCAACCCAGCCACCAAGCTCTGAGCCATCTGCCACCATCTATGTTACATGAGCCCAATCATTCCAACTCCTAACCTCCTTTCCTCCAGCTAAACCCCATCCATCATACTCTGGATATTGCTCTCATTCACCAAGACCCTCCTGATGGCCCAATTCTAGTGCTCTACCTTTCTGATGTTCTGTGACACTTGAAGGCAAAGATTTCACCCACGCTCTCCTTTCCCTCTGCTCCTCTTTTGTGTGGAATTCTGTAAAGTAATTCTACCAGTTGAGTTCCCACTGATATTTGTAGAAAGCAAGCTTCTGTGAGATCAGGACCTTGTCCTCCAAGATTCTGGCAGACATGCCCAATGAAGCTCCATTCTCTCTCTGCTCTTCTACAGTCACCTCTTCACTCCTAATACATACCACTACCATATGGTCCACTGAAGGAGGGAAACTGCTGAATCATTCTGCACTCTGTGTATGTTATGAATCTCTTACAAACTAGTTTCTGGGAAAGTATAAGAATTAGGGAAACGATTAGAAACTAGTAGGCCCATATACCTGATGCTGGATATAAACAGCCAAACAGTTAATAAAGGTTCTTAAGGGCACAAGTTGCTGGTCTAAGGGCCTTAGAACAGAAAATATTGATCTTTTAAAATATAAACAAAACTAAATCACTGCTTTGCTATTTAAACCCCCTCTAACTCCTTCTTTCTACACTCTGATCTTCACGGTTCTGCCTAATCTGGCTCTGCCACCTCATTACATGCCACTCTGCCTTTCCTGTCCAATCACACTGGCTTCTTTTCTATTTCTCAAACTTGCCAAGCTCTTTCCCAGATATAGACTATATGACAGGTGCAAGGATATGCCATTATACTTTTAACATCTCAAGAAGTTAAAAATCACATTCCAGGACTGTGGATGTAGCTTAGCAGTCGAATTCTTGCCTAGCATGAATGATGTCCTGAACTCCATCCCCAGCACGACAAAATGAATAAATAAATAAATAAATACATACATACATACCTCTCACATTCCTGGCTTTTGCCTGGAATCACCAAGCTAATACCAAGAAATCTCAGATCTGTTCTTTCACAGTTGAAGACAGAAACTAAGTGACTCTTAGCAAAATCAAACAAGTCCTAAAGACTACTCAAAGGTCCCCATGAAGCCTCTAATGCAAACAAAGAACACATGAAGGCCCTTCAGGCAGCTCCCAGTAGTCTTTGCAGATAAGATGTTTACTGTGCTTAGAGCCCCGGGCCATGTTCTACATTGTGTACTGAGGATACATAAAGACACAACTTGAATGTAAGACATACCTAAATAAAAATAAGATCTAAGATCTATAAAAACTTAGAACAAATATAAAGTGGCAACAGTGAAGCAGTCCATCATGAGCTTTAAAGCATGACAGAACTGCCTGAAAGCCCTAGTTCTGCCATTTTTAGTGGCTCTGTGACTGTAGCACACTGCTTAAGTGACCCCAAGTCAGTTTCCTTCTGACTTTAGAAGGCTCTTACAATATTTAAATGAAATATCACATGGGAACTATTAACTAGAACACCCAAGAAAGTAGATGGTAATTATTATAAGAGTGGAGATTCCTGAATAGAGGTCCCTCTGCTGGCCATGCCCTCTGGAAGCACCAAGGGAAGAGTGGGAATCAGTCAAGCAAGGTTATCAACTTTATCAGTAACAAAGTAGCCTTCAGAAATGAGGAAGGGACAGGACAAATAGCATTTGTGAATGAGAGATGAGGCAGAGGCCTGAAAACACAAGTCTTATAAATTATGGTGATACAGTAGCTGAGGAAGACAATGAGAAGACTGAGTTAAAGGTGAGCTACATATTGAACCTTGCCAGGAATAGTCATACCTCAGTTAATTGGTGACTTTGGCATTCTTTACAGGATATTCTCCACAAATCCTAACTAATCAATTTAATAAGAGTTACTAAATTTCTACTGCTTGTAAAATGAACAGGTCAGTTCCTATCCTCAAAAAAGTTTTGTCCATTGTGGCATGGACAATAAATAATCCACTATAGAAATATGACATGGCAGATACTCATTGTTTGTTATGTAGCAACACAGTATAAAAACAGCAGTATTAATCGACACTACAGAGCTCAGGAGCAAGAAGCTATTGCTTCAACAGAGAGAACCTGGACCTGCAACAGAGGTCAAAGAGTAACCTAGGAAAAAAAGAATGGTTTTGAGTTTTCTAATGGCCATTCTGGCCTTGCAAGAGTTTCTTTCTTTCTTTTTGCTATGAATCCAGAGGAAGGACATTGTCTTATACTAGAACAAGGAATAATGAATAGAACAGAAAAAATGGCTGTTAGAATCAGAGATTGAGTACTATTTGATAGAACTGTGTAAGAAGCTGATCTACAGTCAGGCCTGTACAGAACTGTGGGCAGCAGGCTATATAATACTCAGGACATCTTTTAAGTATCACACTCACTTTAGAGGGCAGATCAATCTTGAAGTGGTTGGGTATCAACCTGGTTCAAAGAGTAAACTTAAGTCTGGAAGATGTCACTGACCCTATCAATAGACCAAGAGGAGGCATATAACTGAAAAACCATCTTTATAAATTTTCACCATATAAAACAGGACAATCCAGGGCTGGGGCTGGGGCTGGGGCTAACCGGTAGAGCACTTGCCTAGCATGAGTGAGGCACTGGGTTCGATCCTCAGCACCACATAAAAATAAATAAAATAAAGGCATTCTGTCCATCTACAACTTCAAAACAACAACAACAACAACAACAACAAAGGACAATCCAAATCATTATTAGAATTGTCCAAAGGGAAAGTAGCCCAGTGGTAGAGCACGAGTCTGGCATGTGTGAGGCCCTAGGTTCCATCCATAGCACTCGAAAGAAAGAACAGGACAGGACAGGACAGGAATGTCAAAATGGTTGTTTTTGTCTATCTACATTTGAAATTGGGAAATAAACATTTGAGCATATATTCTAGGATCAACAAACTGTTGACCAGGAAGCAAATACAAAGTCCTGTTCTTTGTCTAGTGAAGACCATGCAAGAGAAGGCAAGAGGGCATGCACT